CCTCTTACCTTTATACACATAACAGTGGAGAGGTTCCTGTACAACTTTATACAAATAACAGGGGAGAGGTTCCTGTACAACTTTATACACATAACAGTGGATATGTTCCAGTACAACTTTATACAAATAACAGGGAAGATGTTCCAGTACAACTTTATAGGCAACTTTGTAACTTATAAAGGGGTATACATACTTCTGGATAAGCTGGATCTCTGTTTATTGATGGTTGGTACATTTCACATAGGACAGTAAAAACTGGTAACTTTCCACTGTGTGAGAAAATGATAACTTTTACTTTATATTCATATAATATTACAGTTTAACACTAATCTTAAGATCCAGAAGAAAGAAAACATTAACGGCAGGTGAAGCTAGCAAGAAGATGAGACATACAAGACCTTGCAGGATCAAACGGTAACGGCATGCATCGTTAATAATAAACACATTGGTATTCTTGTCTAGTATTAAAGCATGATTCTATAAATACAAGCAACATTAACGGCAGGTGAAGCTAGCAAGAAGATTAGACATACAAGACCTTGCAGGATCAAACGGTAACGGCAAGCATCGTTAATAATAAACACATTGGTATTCTTGTCTAGTATTAAAGTATGATTCTATAAATACAAGCGTTAAGTTTAACTCTTTGACAAATGTGTTCTTAAAATAAGCTTCAAACTTATTGGAGGTTAAACTTTGCTCATTCAACTCATCAAACTTTGAAAATGTCTTTAAAGTTTTTGTGTGAGTCTACAACATACAAGCTATTGACATTTTGTAACACTTGGTGAAGGCCATAATATTTCAAAAATACCCTGTGAATTATCACTTCTAAATGTATTCATTCTTGTACAAACACTGTAATAAATACACTAACAATGTGTGTAATGTTCAAATTCTAAATGTTCTTCTTCTTATACTTATTTTAAATGTATAATACTTAAATAACCTCAATATTCACTTGTTTAAAAGTTGAATTTTTTTCTACGGCTTTTTCTGTTCACCTTGTTCCATTATTACATGTCTTATAGTAAACTGAACAATTAACAATAACTACAATACAAGAAACTCACCCTTCTACAGCTAGAAGTAAAAACCATACAAAGTTTAATAGTGGTAACAGATATGGAGGGCCTTGCTGGACACTAGGATGTTTCTCTGTGAATGTGAAGAAAACTACTGATGCCGTGGACTTGTTCTTAAGGCACAGGAATCTGACAAGTAAACAGTACACTGAAGTGTTAGTAGGTATTGTAAGAGGCAAACGGTACACTGAAGTGTTAATAGGTATTGTAAGATGAAGACAGTACACTGAAGTGTTAGTACCTATTTTGTACAGGAACCTCTCCCCCAACTTTATACAAATAACATACAGGAACCTCTCCACTGTTATTTGTATAAAGTTGTACTGGAACATCTCCCCTGTTATGTGTATAAAGTTGTACAGGAACATATCCACTGTTATGTGTATAAAGTTGTACAGGAACCTCTCCCCTGTTATGTGTATAAAGTTGTACAGGAACCTCTCCCCTGTTATTTGTATAAAGTTGTACAGGAACCTCTCCCCTGTTATGTGTATAAAGTTGTACAGGAACCTCTCCCCTGTTATGTGTATAAAGTTGTACAGGAACCTCTCCCCTGTTATGTGTATAAAGTTGTACAGGAACCTCTCCCCTGTTATT